AAAATATATATTTGCCTATAATAGATAGATATATATGGAAATAAATCACCAAACAATCTGCAATATTTCTGGAATCTTCAACAATCCTTTAACAAAATAAATTGTTTGCTACAGTAACATTCTCCACCACACGTTCACACAATAAAATATTCTAAGCACAAACCAATAAAGTTTTTCTAAATTTCAACCACACATTCTCCACAAACTACTATTCAAAACTCTATATTTTCTCCCAAAATGGGAGACAAACAAGCTCTTAAAAAGGAACCACATACGAGCGGCAAAGAAAATTTAAAGGGACGATAGTTGTGTCCTTCAGAGTAAGTTGTACAATCCAAAAAAGAATGGAAGAATGTAGAAGAGGCACAACAATTCACTTACTCAAGATAGTATGGTTCATAAATCATTCTTGAAATGCCAATAGAACTTTCAGAAAGTTGTCTTTTATTCAAACATCCATATTGTCAACGATGACCAATATGGAAACAGAAATTCAATGAGCCATCAACTTTTACACCTGCTGCTGGCTGATTTTTTTCAAATGTAATCTTATCTGTAACTAGAATTTTCAAACCCCTGTATTCTCTCAAGCCTTGACAGGCATTCTAAATTCCTCATTCATTTTACATATGCTTAAACTTAACTTCTTTAGGAGATAAAACAGATAACATAAATAATTTCAAAACTCTATACAGAATAATTATTAATTTATAATTTCTAACATCCGATTCATATAAATAAGTCATGCCAGAATAATTTTTCAAAACACATGCTGCAAGCTGACAAAAAGCAAGTGTAACTGATGCAAAATTAAAGCGTATTAGAGTTGGATTGAATTAGATGTTCACAATTCTTGCAATTTTATATTTTGACTCAATTTTAGGATTGTATTTCCAAAAATGCTTTCTACTTAAATTTTGGGGCATGGACACTTCGACAACGACGGACAGTCCAAAAAAGTGTCGTTCCATGTCCTCTTGGTCACTAACACACCTCAAATACTCCCAAGACACGGGCCTTACACACAACGTGGCGTGTCACTCATCAAATTTTACCAACAAAAATCAAAACTAGAAAAAGTACAGATTCCATTAAACAATAACAAGTATTAAAAAATAAAAAGATCTTATATAGTACGATTTTATTTAAACCCTTTAAGTTAATGTGTCCCCCTTGTGTCCGTTAAGTTTTTTTATAAATCACATCAGAGTGTCCGTTCCTTGCCTCTTAGCTCCCACAACTTTCCCTTTCTTCTCTTTTCGTCTTACCTCCCTCTTTCTCTCTTCTTTTATAATTTAACGATTGTTATGTGCATGTATCAATAATGAATCAGTTTAAACAAAATAATCGGCCACCCATCGAAATAGGATGGAAGTAGGTCTTTGGGATCAGAAGGACGAGAGGAATTTACATTTTATACATATTTGTGTCAACCAATCTGGAACCTGTGCTTTATGTCCTTAAAGTTATAATACAACTATTTTCTGTAAGAAACGACTTAAACTTCCATTTATTGGGTAGCATTATTTTTCACAAACAGGCATCAGAGTTTATACTAAAAAGATGGTTGTAGGATCCATGATGAATCATATATTGCATCTATGACAATTCTAAATGACAAATGAAGTTTATCAAATGTACAACTATTTTCTGTAAGAAATGACTTAAACTTCCATTTATTGGGTAGCATTATTTTTCACACACAGGCATCACATTTTATACTAAAAAGATGGTTGTAGGATCCATGATGCATCATATATTGCATCTATAACAATTCTAAATGACAAAGGAAGTTTATGAAATGTTTCTTAATTTACGCATTTAAAAATGAAGCCTAAGCCAATAAGGTAGAACAAAACATGGTTGTTCAGAACTGACAGTTTTTGTCTAAAATGCATCTGAAATTTACCGTGTGGAACAACATATAGATGACCCTTTGGAATGAGATAAGTTATGAATTGTGATAATAACTAGCTTTTATATTAGCTACAAAGACAACACATTAATCATCTACAGCAGAAAATAATACCTGGATTCTAGCTCCTCGATACATGATTACACCTGGAATGCAAGTTAAGGTGGTAAATTCATATGAAGCAACCTACAAAACATATAAAGGAAAGATTGTGAGGAAAGCACTTTGAAGCTTTAGCAATGTGTGGGTACTGCCTTCAGAAGACATATGCAAGTAACAGAAAAAAAGAGACTTAGCAAAGCAAGAACCATTGACCCTACATATAGAATACCAATAATAAGATGCGAAGTTGCATAGAGTCATACTTAGATGTCAATACTCGAAGTATTTTAGCTTTACGAAGCCCTTTTTATATTTCTTGGAGCCATCTTATTCATTTAAAGTAACTGCTCTGTCACCTCTTATTCTTTACCCCCCAATACCAAAAGTTATATATAAAAGTTATGTTTCATTAGACAAGAAGTGTGGCCTATAAAATGAGATAAATGATCCTAAAAGTCACAAAAGACATGAAGAAAAGGTGATTTGCTTTCAATATCCAATAAAGCAAGAGGGAAAATCCTGAGAACACATAGTATTACCAACCTCTGAAAAAGTGCCAGTTAATTTGTTTAAAAGGGTCGATTTCCCGACGGATGGAAAACCTACAAGACCGATTCTTGCATCTCCACTTTCTGTAACATCAAAACCTTCTCCAGCACCACCACCTCCCTTCGATGGCGGTGCAAGAAGTTCCCTTCGAAGTTTTGCAAGCTTAGCCTAAAACCAAATAAGCAATTACCAAAAACCAATCCAGTTAAATACACTGACAGAAGAAATCGGTGC